GGCAGAGGCTGTATACGCGCGGCCGTGTGAAAGTATTTCGAGAGGAAGAGCGGACTCTCCCTATTCTCGGCCGTACCAGGGCATCCGGGGGCCATCTTTACATTGTTAGCACTTCTCTAATTTTGAGAACTATATGTATACAAAATCGACTTGGATAATTTACGTGGTATGTATTATCCTCATTTAACCTACATAATATTTTACGTTAGTAATCGTACTACTTATTAAAATTACTAGTAGTGTAGAGAAATATATTATCAGTGTGATTGGGTTGTTTACAAATTTTGATTCCTATCCACATTAGTCAAATACTATTTCCAAATTCATCTAATCTAACTAACAGAGTAAGCCGTTTTCTATCTGGTGATATGTAAAATAATAAACTCAGAAATCTGTTGTTTATAACCTCTGCGAAGGTACTTCATTTATTTCTCAGCTTGATGGCACCAACGAAATATCATTTACAAAGCAGCTAGATCGTAATATCTTTTACTTCTGCATAAATGAGTTGACTAAACGCCAGAAGCATGCATTATAGCTGAACCAAACGGCATATTATTACGTGAATTACAGTCGAAGTTTTAAATGGCTTTTGAAATTCATTTAACTGATTTTGAAGGCAACCTGGTTTAGGGGAACTGGTTAACTTCAAAAGATATATTCTGATAATCAGCTTGTTTCTAGGCAGAATAATTTGTCATTTTGAATGTTTCTGTTACTTATCCTTGACGGAGAAAACGTATATGAATCTAATAGATAGTCATAAAAATGACTTTTAAAATAGAATTTTAGTTTTTGAATCATTACCCAGTTCCTTCCAATTATGCTTCGATTTCATTTTTCTTCTTAAGGTTTAAACACACATCCTGAAATCATGTAGACGTACTTGGCTGTTCAATATTTGTCGTTTTACATCTTTAACTAGCGATTATCCACATGTGGTAGTCTGATTTATTAAGAGGTTTATAAAAATTGGGGTAGAGTGAAAGAAATTGACAACTGTATGATTGAAGAACAGACCTTTTGGATATCTAATGGTCATCTTTGTAATATAGAACTGAATCCCATACTGATCAGTAATTGCGAATCGAATTCCGACAAAGTTCACTTATTTCTGCGACTAGATAGACATTTCAAGTTTATGTTGCAAATACGTAGTTTTTTTCACACACACACACACACAGTTCTTTTTATCCTTTGGAAAGGAGCAAGAACAACGATTCTAGCAGAAGAGCATAAGTTCATGAAAGTCTTTAGTCGGAAGCTATGTTAAAGACATAATAGTACAGCAAGGGTGTAAATAAATTTACTAGACTAAATATTACAAGTATGTACCTTATGCAAAAGAAAATTCCGCAACATTGTGACAACAGTTCAAACGGCCAGAAACAAGTGATTTCATAATGAGTAAACAGTGATAGGAATAAAATGAGTAAAGCACTGTTGATAAAATAAGATAAGTAATCTGGAAGATAGTTGAAATAAAAACTCAATGATGTAAGAAAAGGTTAAAGAAGAGTTTAAGATGCAGCGAAGGAATATTTGTCACCAAGGCAATGAAATATTAGTAATCATCCCCTTTTGAACACACAAGTCAGGTTGTTGACACCTGATAGCAACGGCTTCAGCAAACTTCAAAAGACAAGTTCGTCTGCCTACTAATCACATAGACAGATTGCAGGGTATCGACCTGATGTCCTGTATCTAAGAGATCTTAAGTGATTGCACTGTTTAGAGTCTTTCTTCTCTTTCTGAAGCTTTTTGGAACGTGCTCAAAAAATCTAAGATATCTTTTCTGTTCGGTCAATGTGGTTGCTTTGGCAGGCACATGCAAATTTATAAATACAGTTGGCGGTAACACGAAAGGAGTGCTTTTCAACCTTTCATTGAGCATGTTTTATACAGAATTAATAGTTTGGCAGCCGGGTAAGTCCTGGCTAGTGCAGTGTTCAGCCTCTTGCTAATTGTGCTTGCGACGTCATAGTTTTTTGTTCGACAAATGTTGTAGAGTGTAATAGGAAACCAGTGTTCACAAGCAAAATTTTCTGATTCACATTGACCAAAAATGAAAGTAAACAAATGACATTGTTTTGTTTTAGGTATATAATTTATATCACGTTGCTTGAAGTGAGATTGTATGTAATGAGCGTAATTGTCGAGAATAATCTATCTAGTCTTTTCTTATTAGTCTTGTGCGGAGCGTGATTTGACCATTACTGCTCATAATTAGTGCCTTACATCTAATTCCGGTTAACTATTCACGTATCTTGTATTTAATTTCGTCATAGTAAAGTTAGTACAAAGTATAGTCCGAAACCTGAAATGCGAAATATAACGAGAATACGTCTAACTCCGCCTGTAGGGCTTTTATTTGAGTTAAAAGATTTGGACTTCACAAATGACCTGACCCTTTTATGCCATATACACGAACAAATGCAGATGAAGACAACTAGTGTAGCGGCAGCCCCTGCATCAGTAGGCCTGAACATACACAAGAAAAAAGCAGGATCCTCAAATACAACACGGAGAACGCCAACTCAGTCGCTTTGAATAACCGTCTCTCTTAGGAAGTCAATTTATTTTCTAAAACATTCCATATTACAAGGACTAGTCCCGTTTCTTTCAATAATGGTACAGAAAAGTAACTTTTCTAATGTATTTATTAAGCTTAATTTTATCTTTTGTTTAATAAGACTTTCTCTCGAAAAGTAAACTGATGAGTTTTCCGCATTGCGGATTTTTTATAACGAATAAATGATGCATGATTAAGCCAATGGTAATACAAAATTGATTATAAAATAAATTATACCATTAAGTTGTTAATCCATTGTAATATTTTAAAATTGACTTATTTAAGCACATGAAATATTTTTAAAAAAACATGTTATACTTTGTCCCATATTTGTTCTTAAAGTCATCGGTAATCGATATCAGTATTCAGTAATTCATTATAACCAGTAGCGGAAGTTGGTCAATATATTGTCTGTTGAACGGTGCGAAAAACCAATGAGATTTCAAAACTGTTTACACGAATTTTATTAATATCTTACTCGAGAATTTATGAGAGCGAGGAAGTACTGAATAAACCACCTAATAATATGCTTTAAATATCTTTAGGAATCAGGTACAGATGATATAAAGTTACTAGTCACAATCTAAATAGAAACAACGTTTCCATACTGCTCCAATCATAATCACCATTGTTAGCGAAATTTGAAATGAAAATTTAATTTCGAGTTGTAATACTATCCTATTATTACGACGCAGCTACTGCTATTGTTTAGTAATATTGGACACTACTTTACTCGACAAGTCCCCAAATCAAAACACAGTTGAACAGGAACGTAATTATATTCTAAATGAAAAGACTGGATGGAAGTAGGAATCATGACGAGAAACGTTATTTTAATTATAGTTTTTACATGAGAGGATTCTAGAGCCTTTTTCAAGTGTCCGTTAGCGCTGATTGGACAAGAAATAGCCAGTGAGTGTGCCCCAAAGTAATCCTGTGCGGAACGTGCTTTAATCCAGTTTATATCCTCGCTAACACAAGTGATTCGACAAAACTGGTAAGATATTCGGTTTAATGCAGTCACGAATTCACAAGCTCAGTAATGTTTGACCCGAGTAATTGCACAACAGTAAGAAAACTAAGTATTATGCCAAAAGCCAAACAAAAGTGTACATAACTCATGAGTATATATCTTAATTTACTGTCACAGACAGTGATATGCAGGGCGTGACATTAGTCGGATCAAAAATTTAGTTACAATAACATGTTCACATTTTTATTTCTCACACGTGATCCGTCTGAATTTGCGTTAATATTTGATCTGTCTGAAGCTGTTTATTTTGTTAAGGACTACAGAGAATATGTAAAATCCAAACGGTATGGAATCCCGCTCTACATGCAGATTACTTGGTTGGGGTCCGCGTGACTATCGTAACCAATGGTTGGAGACTTCGTGACATGGCTCAGAATCGATCACAATGGCGTAGGTGTATACACTCTCCTGTTTTCCCTTAAACTATGAAAGTAAAATCGCTTCATATCTTTCTACGTACTAATTCTTTCTTCTTGTACTATGTCCTTATATGCAATCTTTCTTTTACATATTACCATTATTGAATTACTTCTATAAATCAGGTGTTCATCTTGCTGTGCTAATGCGTTATGGCAACTTGGATCGATGCATATATGTGCCTGGTCCTACGTTGTAGCTGACTGACTGATATGTTGCGAAGTTATTGAATATATACAATCCGAATTCACTTGAACTGAAATCCAAGCTCTTTTATCTTGATACAGTTGAATAGCTAAGGAATATGTGGTTTAGACTGGCACTAATATTCATAATATGAAACTATACTGTGAAATCTACACCCGAATTTCATAAAATATAGAAAAGCTCATATAAACTGTATAAAACCAAGGGGATGGTAATTTTTAGCGATGAACTTGTACTATAGAAATGATCTATCAATTCTAAATGTCGAAAAATCTCGAAACTTCTTTTATAGCTTAGGGTTAATGTGGTACATCTCAGCTGCAAGATACAACTACTAGCGAATACCGAAGTCGATAAGTAAATCTGAAAACAAATCAGTTCAAGAGATTTAAATATTTAGTGGAAAACCAACAGAATTACAGCAACTAAGCGCTCGTGATATACTGCAGTAGACTTCTTAAGGTTATAGTTTAATAAAATACACATTATTGCCTGACGTTTAGTCAAAGGTTTGTATTTGGAAATCTACACAACCAGTTTCATATGTGTAAATACTGTCACAGTGATATTGCAAACTGGTAACCGCTAAGTTTTGGTTGTGTAAAATGCCTTATAGATAGATGGAGTCCAAGTAAACACACAAAAATTGGAGACTGAGTTTCCAAGAATTTTATTGCGAAAGTTCCAATATTGCATTACAAAAAGCCTGAAGATAAAAACTTGGATCTACCACAAAATAATTGAATACTTGATTACAAGCATATGAATATTCGGAAATGGATTAAATCAAATCACTTTAAGACATCATCAGCTGAATGATCATGCAGCATTTTCGATCATCAGTATCATATAGTCGAAGAGTGATTGATTCAGTTTTTGAAAATGTGGAAGAAAAATTACTGGCTATTAGTCGAACATTTTGGTGGGATGATTTGTGAATGTTGAACATCTATGACTTCTGGTTGTGGAACAAGGAAAGCGCTTTTTGAATCGGCTTCTATTACATCTCCAATTATCCATGATGGACATCCAACTTCAGCAGTTAGCTCTTCACAAAAAGATTGGGCAGATTCTCGGGGAAGAACAATCAACAGACCACCTAGGTTTTGGTGAAAAACTAATATTATTTTCAATAAAAGGGATAATCAAGTTTATCCATAAGTATATCAAACTTAATGCCACAAATATATTATGATAAGGCATACAAGTTCAACACAGATATAAACAACAAAGCAAAAATAAACAGTACCTGATGTTTCTGGAGAAAAACCTTGAAGTAGTTTTAACCGATCGTTTAATGCCCTGGAAATCAACGAGCTTCCTTCAAGACACGGCAAAGTATGAATGCTGAAGGCTAAGTGATTGTTTGCCTGAACTTGGACTAAATTATTTGCATGACCCAAAAGACCGAAACCTGTTACGTCAGTACACCCGTGGGCGTGATGTTTATGCATTAGTCGAGCAGCTACAATGAACAGTTAAAATATAAGCTCTTTAAGAACGCATCATTACATTTTAATTTTCCATATGTACATGACTTAAATAAAAAGTGTTCTCGTCAGCAAAATATGTAGCTTCTTAGAATTAGCAGAAAGATATCGTTGATGCATAGTAGTAGATATAAAATAGGAGGAAATATGTCAATTCAAATTCTAACCGCCCTCCAACAATGCAGTGAGAAAAATTAACCTACAAATTACCATCATAACAACAATTACAGTACTGATAGTAACAAGCTCAAAAAATTGGAATAGAAGAAAACACTCAATTCTAATAGCTTTTATGTGGTGCTTTCATCACATGAACAGGACTAGTAATTATTTTTGTCCCAAAGTATTCCTTTAGTGCATTCGGAAAAAGATAGTTAAAAAGCGTAAGCTGAAATGTAATGCAGTTTCTCGTCAGCTGGATAATAGCTAGTGTAATTTACAATTAGAATGTGGTTGCGAAACTGCTCTTAACTGTATGAGAAAGGAAAGAGAAAATGCCAAATCAACCATTTAGTAAAAATCACTCGCTCGGTTACGAACAAAACTTATTAACCCAAGCGCTTTGATCACCTTGAATATCTTAAACTTAGAATTATACGAAACACATAAGAAGTTAGTTAGGGTGGTCTTATGACGTCATCAATAAATGCTTAGATTCTTCTCAGAAATAAAATTATTTGGATGAATCCTGGGATTGTAGAGCAAAACACGTATTTAACTGACACTGAACCAGTTAAACTATAACTGTCTAAAGTAGTGAAGTCAGTAATTATACGAGGCTTTAATTAGTCTTAGACCCGAACGTAAATGAGTAGATCATTTGTTCCTTTTGGACTATAGTTCTCATGTTTAGGATTTAATTGCTTTCGATATTAGTTCCCAACTTTTGATCTTATTTATTTACACTCGCTGTACTGATGAAAGTTATATCATTTTGAACTGAAGCACACTCTATGCTAAATCTCACGATAATAATGACTGATGTGTTGTTACCAATATTTTTTGGGAAGGAGTTGATCAGTGATGTCGGTGTAAAATAAGGTAGTCAGATTTCTCACTGAATAACGTAGAGTTTGAGAGGTGAAGCTCACAAAATGAGAATCCGACAACTTTGTCACTTATGCAGGTTTAGTTAAATAATACGAACGCTTCAAGAAGGAATCTGCAAATTTGAGGAAATTGATAGAAAGCAAATGCTTTTTTATTGATGACAAATAATGTGTCTCACTAACATAGAGTTTATCGTATTCAAAAACCAATAATCCTTATTCATATTGAGTGTCTAGTGTTTGAGCATAAAGAAATACGATTTGGTTATAAACCTAACTTAGTCGAAATTGTTTTGTATATTAATTGATTAACTTTATTGCGACAAGTATAGGATGAACAGTGATATGTATTTATGAAAATGTTAGTACGACAGCATACCAATTAACATCTGAGAATCAATATTTACTAGGTGAAGCGCACAAACCTGTTCGGTTTAAATGAGTCATGGAGAGAGTAGCAGAATGAAACAAACTCTTTACTTTATCTGACGTGATGATATTGGCTAGATTTCCAGACCAAGATGGACTATCCTCCAGCATCCAGTAGTAAACTGAAACAGCTACTTGGGTGCCCAAAGGTTTTGTGAGTACTAAGACGTCACCCACTGCAGCTTGATCCGGCCTGTTAAAATTTGATTAAAGTAGGAGACTAAATATTGACAAACCATTAAAAATTAAATGAAGAGTAATAAACTATTAAGCTTAGTGAAGTCAAACATACAACAAATAGTAAACCATTTGTGTAGTAATAATTCACAGTGGTACGAAAAAAGTGAAAATAAAAACCAACAGCAAAGGAAAACCAAAGATCATCAGGAAGTAATCTAAAAAGAGTGAATGACAATTAGGAATAAGGCAAAGTTGTCTACATAATTATAATTCTACGTATACTGAATATGATAATGTTGGATACGTTTGTATCAATCAAATAGATTCATGCAGTAGACGATATTTCGTTGTCTGGGTTTATTTGAGCATAGTTTAGTTACTGAAACAAATCTACGATTAGTCGGGAAGTTTGATACCTGGTTTATGTGTGAATATATTCCAATACTATGTCACACTGATCCTTTTCTAAAACATTAATCTATGTTCATTTCTTCCAACAGTTTGCTTGATGGATATACTGCACCAACATTGCCTAGGATTTAGATAAATGCCAAGTCAATTACTATGAGATGACGTCACAAATTTGTCACGAAAACAAACAAAACAGCATGAAACTAATTGGTGCTTAGAGTTATTTCCATCTAATTTTAAACACTTGTATAAATAAAAATAATATATTTGTAATATCCCAATGGGTAGAAAATTGGATTTTTCTGACGTTTCCTGGCTTAGTGTAAGTCACTTCTTCAGAGAATAAACAACCAAATTAAATTAATCCAAGTTTAAATAGTACAACGTTGTACTATTTAAACTTGGATTAATTTAATTTGGTTGTTTATCCTCTGAAGAAGTGACTTACACTAAGCCAGGAAACGTCAGAAAAATCCAATTTTCTACCCATTGGAATATTACAAATATATTATTTTTATTTATAACAATCAACCCAATGCTCAATTTATTCGAAATTATCAAATCAAACCTTGGTAATGACACCTACTTACTTGTATATACACAATGTATAACGCATATAACTACATTAGAATTATTGTCAGTCGATGCACAGAAAGTCTACAATAAAAAGCCAACGAGGAAAAACTGCATGGATTGTTTGTCATTGTCAAAATAAAAACAGCCCATTAGATATGAATCCCTTTATTCATTTAGCCTAAAATATTAATCGATATGAAATGTACCAAAGTGTATTGTACTTGAATGACTTAGTGAATGTGTATTATCGATTTTATGAGTACTGGAGATAAACCATGGATAAGTTGTAGTGAAACATTTTTAAGTCACAAGAAAATATCAATATTCTGATGTTTCTTTCCATAAAATCCTGAATATTTAGGCACACATACAAAACACATCCACTGATTTAATTGTACATCAGGAATTAACTACTATAAAGGAAGTTCGCCTATAGTTTTTAACTGATCTAAACAACTGGATAATTGAAGAACTTACATAATATATTCTGAATCACTGCAAACTGAAGTTGCTACACCACCAATCATTAACCATGGACTCAATACAGTTTGTCCTCCACGAACATATGTTCCAGCTTCCAATGCACAGTCCTTCAAAGAACAGAAAATGTTTTGCAATATGTATAACAACGTAACCTACCTTAAAACCCTCCATCAATAAGCGATTTGATATTTCGCGTTCTTCTTGGGTCATTTCACGTGGAACACCCAGCAAGAGAAGCAAATTATCACAGTCAACTACGCCCATTGCATACAAATCACTTAGTACATTACAGCACGTAATTCGACCCTGTCTTCTTAGAGTAAAAATGACATTTAACTAACCATAGTGTAAGGATCATCAATCAGAGGATAAAAGAAGTCGGTTGTTTGGATAAGTTTTAAGTTATTTCGAATAGGAATAACACAACAATCGAGTTCTAATGCTTTAATGTCAATAGAAATATGTTAATGGAAAGGATACTGAACAAAACCTACCCAGTAATGGTTTATTACTTGAAAGTGAACACGGTTGTGGTTGATTTAGTGCCTCAAGCAATTTCTTCAGTTCAGCTTGAGGCACTTTACAACCTCATCCTCTCAGGAATGAAAATTTGGTTAGGCGAAAGTCACTCCGAAGTCCATAAAACTCAGGGTTGAAAAACCCAGTCAGTTGGCGACGATCACCCGCACTCATACGTCGATGGAAATACCAAGAAACTACAACAACAAGACACGTTGATTGAATGTTAGATAAATGAAAGCGTTATAAACAAATTATCCGAAACACATGAAGTGTAACAGATCCATGCAATACATAGTTATGGATTATACGTGTGACGAATTCCGTAAATTCTGATAATACTGCTGTCAAACCATACACAAAACAATTACATGCGGGTAAAGATACCTAAAACTCAATAACCACTCCTATAGCATAAGATAAATAACAGAGCGGGGAAAGAGTTGAGCAGCAAAAGGAAATCTCGTCCACGTGCAAAAATACAAACGGTAGCTGGCTACTAAATCTTATATTCTTAAGAGTGACTGCCAAGAGCATTGAGATCAGCCAGTTTCTAAACACGTTCTAATATGTCGACATTCAACTTCAGAAAATTACACAGTAAACAAATAAAAATTAATTTTATGAAGAGTCTATGACACCCTGTACTGTTTTTTATTAGACAAGTAATTCCAAAGGTCGATATGTGTTGTGATTCTCTCTCATTACAACCCAGTTGTTCCCATTGCTTATTATTCTTGGACACCATTTCACTCGACAAGTCCCCAAATCAGAACACGGTTGAACAGGAACAAAAGTGTACTCCAAATAATAAGGGTAGATGAAAGTAAGAAGCACAATAAGAAAAATGTTAGTATATTTAACATTTTTACATGAGAAGATTCTAGAGTCTACTCCAAGTATCGGCCAGCACTGATTGGACAAGAACTAGTCAGTCACCGAGCACTAACGCAATCGTGTATGGAACATGCTTTAATCAAGTCTGTCCCACTGACACCTCCCGTTTGAGCAGATTCGTAGGATCTGGTGCTAGGGTCCAACTACAACCAAGTAACTGGCCTGTCTGTTCCAGGCGTTTTGATTTCAAAGGTGTCTAGCAGAATGTCAAAAGTTTATTTATTTGAACACATAAGTATTAGTACAAAGGGGCACCAGATTTATATGCGTCACACAATAATAATGAGAAAGGGAAGAGATAAAGCGTGTAAGATGCGTGTAAACAGAAAAAAAGGACAATAACGACCACAAATTAGTGTATGGTAGTGAAATAATGATAATAATAATGGGGAAACAGAAAGGTACAACCAGAAAGAATCCTTTCAGTTAAAGAGGCTACGGTCACTTTTTATGAAGAAAGTAAAATAAGGTTACAGGAGGATCGCCACTGGCTTCTATTCTGAGCCATATCTGATAATGTCTCTAGCCACTGTGTAGCACCATCTCTCAGAATCCAACCAGGAAGTCGTGAAGGACCAACACAAGCCAGTCCTTTGCAGCTTTTTCATACCACGACACCATGTCATGCACTGACCACCTCTCCGCTTCTTCCAACCATTCCCAGAGTCGGCAAATAATGCACGACGTGGAATTCTCTGGGACGACATTCGGAGAACATGTCCAAGCCACCGAAGTCGGTGTTTCAAGATGGTGACACCAATTGAAATATCATATCTGTGCCCGAACACACGATGCTGAACCTCTGCATTACTGACATGGTGTTGCCACTGAATGTCAGCAATCCTTCGGAGACAGCGATGATCGAACACAGAGAGTCGTCTAACGTCCTCAACTCGGAGAGGCCAGGTTTCACAAGCATAGAGCAAAACTACTCTCACCGACGCGTTGTAGATCCGACCTTCTGCAGCCAGACTAACATCACAAAGGCGCCAAAGATGACCCAGATTGGCATGAGCCGCTCTGGCTTTCACTATACATGAATCGATCTCATCACTCACACCCCCACCAGCACTTATGCAGCTACCCAGATACACGAACTTCTCGAATTCGTCTATCTGCTCACCATCCAGGGTGAGTACAGGATTAGAATCCTGCCAGTCTTGTAGAAGTACTTTGCACTTCGAAGGTGCAAAGCACATACCATACTTACGGACACTGATTGCCAACTGATTAAGTGCGAATTGCATGCCTTGGGCATTATCGCACAGTAAGACAATATCGTCCGCATACTCAAGGTCGAGAAGTCTTACTCCGGGCAACAGATCAACACCGCCATTACTTACATCCATCCGAGCCATTTTCAGAATGTCATCGATGGCAAAGTTGAGGAGGAATGGTGAGATTGGGCGACCCTGCCTAACCCCTTTGCTCGAATGGAACAATGGAGAGAGGTGGTTGTATGCCCTCACTCTACTCAAGGTGTTTGTATATAGGGCTTTTAGGATGTTAATGAACTTATCAGGCACACCCTTCTTCAATAGACAACAGTCCTATCCAACGAATCGAAGGCAGTCCTGATGTCAAGAAACACTACGATTGTTGGCCTTTGATAAGTATGGCGGTGTTCTAACATTTGGCGGAAGGTGAAAATATGATCAATACATCCTCAACAAGAACGAAAACCAGTCTTCTCCTCGCGAGTCAATCTATCTCGGGTTTTGAACAACTTACAAAGTATGACGGAAGCCAATAGCTTGGACGCAATCGGAAGTAGACTTATCCTCCGATAATTGTTACAGGAACGACGTGAACCCTTTTTAAAGATAGGGTCGACTATCGACTCATTCCATGACGTTGGTACACTCTCTAGTTTCCAAACCTTTGTAAACAACGTCGTCAATTCCTTAGTCAGAAAGTCACCAATATCTTTAAAAAGGGCCGGAGGTAAGTTATCTGGGCCAGGTGATTTGTAACGCTTCAATAGTTGGAGTTCCTTGCGGACTTCCGTCTCATTTGGTGGATCAGTCGTCACCGGCCATGGAGGGCAGGACAATCTGGCCGATGTTGGCGGAGCAGCAGGCCAGTTGAACTGCCCTTCGAAGAATTCTGCCCATCGTCCAAGACGTCGATGGATGTTAGTGATTGGCATCCCGTCATCCTCATAGATTGTTTCGCCCACACCAGACTTCTTGCTGCCAGTTGCTCGGATGAGTTGGAATAGCTTCCGGCAGTTACCAGGTGCAGCTGCTACTTACAGCTCATTAGCACGCTTCGACCACCAGGCCTCTCGGTCCTTACGCAAGCTTTTCCCTATTTCATTACGCAACATCCTTCGTTTATGGTCAGACTCACGGTCACCCGGAGTAGACCGATGGGCTTCGATGAGTTGTAAGGAACCAGAAGAAACCCAGTGCTTGTAAGCGGGACGTTTCGCGAACCCACAACTGACTGTACCCGCCATTTTCATGGCGTCATGCAATTACAACCAATGCTCATCTATACTTTTCGGTGGAATGGTAGCTAGCCTAGAGGCTAGCTCGGTTCGATACTTACTTGCAATAGAAGTTGCAACTAGCTTGCTAATATCAATCCGTTGATGGCGGTCACTTCGTTGTCCACTGTAAAGTAAGGTCAGATTGGCGCAGACAAGGGCATGATCAGAGTCCAGATAGGTACTCCAAAAGGAGCGGCAGTCTTGTACACAACCACGTCAACGGTAGCTGATCGCGATGTGACCAATCTGAGTCCAGGCTTGGGATGTAGAGGGAGGACGCCAAGTGGCATATCGGCGATGACTGTGCCGAAAGTTAGTGCTAGCCAGAAACAGGTTGTGGTCTGTGCACAGTTGCAGTAGACGGTCCCCGTTATCTGTCCTGTGACCAAAAAGTACATATCGGCCACCTAAACGACTCTCTTCTGTGCCTAGACGCCCGACCTGAGCATTGAAGTTTCCGGCTAGTACTACAATATCTGTCGAACACACTTTCTGGAGAGGAACAGATAACTGGTGGTAAAACTCATCCTTGATTGCATCCGGGCTGCAATCTGTCGAAGCATAGGCAGAGATGACGGAAAGACATCGTTTCTCACGCCGATTTCTTCTCATTTTGATGGAACTTTCTAATCTAACAGCACATGACCGACTGTTAATGGGGATCCAATCGATTAGTGGTGCCCCAGCTCTAGTGCTTAGTGCGACACCAACGCCAGAAAGACCGGATGAAAATGACATAGGGTCGGAGTAGATGGTTTTCTTAGGGGGCCACACCCCGAGCCTTTGACCTAAAGGTCTGACCCACGAGGCAGTGGAACATCGTGAGCAGATGCAGTCCCATGGTAGCCGGTGACCAAAGATTGGTTCATACGCCATTTGTTCCCTCAGGAGACTGAAGCCCATGTGCAACATTGATTTGGTTTGGGATCCGGTTAAATCGCCGGACATCCGCTTTTCGTCCTCTCATTTTCGTAAACAACACCCCAGACACGAGAAAGTAGTGAGTAGGACTTCCCTGACAGAGGCTGTATACACGTGGCCATGTGAGATCATTTCGAGAGGGTGGGCAGGCCCACTTCTCTCGGCCATACCAGGGCATTTGGAGGGCGACCACTGCTAAGGTTTATCTTTTGATAGTAATTCACTTAGTGGACCTCTCACTCGATGAATTTCAGATAGGAATGTGCTGTAATGACTGATTAACCTCAAGAAGGATCATAATGAGGGAACATCAGTTGATGAAGGCATCTTCTGAATGATTTCGATGTTGGCAGGGTCTGATCGGCGACCGTTCTTATCTAAGATGAAACCAAGGTTTTTGATCGAATGCATGAAGACACTTTTCTTCACGTAGTTGGAAACCATACTCCAACACTCGGTTAAGGACTTGATTTAGTCGATCAGAAAGTTCAGTCAGTTGGACCCATAACTATGATATTATCTAGGTAAGCTGCTGTACCAGGTATACCTGTTAGTATCGTATCCATTATTTGCTGAAAGAAGGCAGTTGCTGTAGTGATGCAAAATGGTAGACGAGTGTATTAAAATAACCCTCGATGAGTGTTAATGGTCAGAAGCTCTTTACTATTTTCATCTACTTCCACTTGGAGATAGGCATCGGAGAAGTCTATTTTCGCGAAATATGTTCCACCATTAAGCTTGGCAAACAAATCTTCATGAACTGGTAACTGATATACATCCAATACAGCATTTAAAGCGGTTGAGAAATCGGCACATATGCTCATAATTCCATTGGCCTTTTTAATTAATACGATCGGTGCGGCTCATGCAGAGTAATTGACTGGTTGAATTATACTAGCTTGTTGCTAGCGATTAAGTTCCTGGTCGATTAGTTCAAGCGCAGAATATGGTACAGGACGTCTCGGACGAAAAACAGGTTTAGCATCTGGCTTCAATGGCAAATGAGCTTTCATCTTGGTACCGTGGTCAAGGCTATTCTGAAAACAGAGACAAATTTTCTCTTCGGTTTTTCTAGTGACCTTTCACCTGTCTTTTTTGTAAGTACCGGGGTGTCCAATGATGAACACGATAGGTTGCAGACATTGTTAGTGGGTATACCCATTATACCAGGTTTTTCTAGCATATCTAGACCAAGAAGATCAAGGTTTGACCGTTCTTTTAGTTAACATATTCCCGTACAGTTAATTCCATTGAAAGAAAATTCACACTGTAATTCATCAATCAGTTTTAGCACACCATCTGATGCGTTTTTGGCAGTTTTCTTAGATGGCTTGATTGACGGTCTCCCAAGCAAGTCACACTTTTCTCTAGACACTAGTATGATATCGGATGCCGTGTCAATTTGAAGACGAGCTGATATGTAACTTATTATTAGGTTTCCCAGATATTTACTATTTGTAGCCTTTATCAAGCAACAGAGTGACAACAATTAGCTTTGATTTTCAGAGACAGGATATAAGAGTAGTCTTGCACCGCACAAGACTAATACGATAAAATTAGACAGATTATTCTTTATTCTCGACAATTACGCTCATTACATACAATCTCTCTTCAAGCAACGTGATATCAATTACATACATAAAACAAAACTATGTCATTTGTTGACATTCACTTTTGGTCAATATGAATCAGACAATTTTGCTTGTGAACACTGGTTTCCTATTACACTCTACAACATTTGTCGCACAAAAAAACTATGTACTTGCAAAATAACCTGAAATATCTAGTAGCAGAAATAATTGAGCTTTGTCGGAATTTGATTCACAATTATTGATTAATCTGGTACTCGTCTGCACTCAGTTTTACACATTAAGTTTTAACCATTAGACTGTCTCATATTGACTTAATTAAAAAAGGTAGATAAACATATCAAATAATAGAAACGACATCTTTGTACTAAAAACTAACATATCATTTTTCGTTACAGACAAACAACAATAAGAATAATTTATCCAAACTAACGAAAAGTTTCTACTTAATGAATATGACTAATACCATGTAATTTACCAGTGAACGTGACTCAATATATGAAGCGATTCTAGTACCCAAAACGTGTCAATCAGGATTTAGGTGTTTACAGGGAGTTTAGTTTCCTGTTTTAAACAAATGTAATTAAAATGCATTATGTGTTTCAACTCTAATTTTTCCTGTAATAGGAAGAACAAAAAACAAACACTGAGAGTTTATTCAGATAGTCAGAGAAGTACACGAAGCATAGGATATTTGTTTAATTTCATATGAGTTATAGTGCTGTCGTTGATCATTAACTATTTATCCAATAACTGCTGAACTAAAAGTACTAGGGTTATACTCCTGTTTTATCAGAGATTCTGTTATGTTGAATATATATACATCTATCTTTTTGAAACCCTACCATTCTAAGTAGTCATTAACCGAATACGTTTGCTGTAGATGTAGGAGAGTAAAAGGTTCAACAAGTATTCTGGGGGCTATGTATAATACTCTAGCTGAGAACAAATTCATATTAAAAAATTAAAATAAAGTTTTCTATAACCGCAATATGGTAGTTAGTCTTGAGCAATATACATAGTCAGTTCAGTCATGGTAAAAAAACGTAGTCATCATTTTTTGTTGAGCACAGTAATGTTTTCGCGTCTAAAATCTTGAAAGAACTTAAGAGTATGAACTAGTTTAACACAAATGAATTCCCACCTTGCTTAAACATTTGGTTTGGGTTACGAATGACTTGACTGGAAAGTACACGATTCATGTTAGCAAATTAGGTACGGCCACGTCTTTTAAGACTGAAATTAACATGACAAAAGACTAACTAAAGAAAGTGAATGTAACGTTGTAAAATAATATTTAAAGGAATTGTTAGTTTTACTCGATTCATACGACTTCATGAACCACATAATCAGTTTTGGGAGAGAAAAAGAATGTATAAGGAGAAAAACGTAACCGAATTCCGAAAGTAAAATGGCTTAAAAAGCCAAAAAATTAAACGTCTAAGTTTGATATTCACGTAAAAACTTTAATCTTGCAAGAACTCTTTAAATATGTGGAAACTACTTAAAGAGCTTACAAGTGAAAGACATTAGTGATGATGGCCGGCTGAATGTTTGTGACGTAAATTAGTTTTTTTGCGCTCATTATCTGATGTTATGCTTCCAAAATCTACAAGTTTGAAGAGGTGTTGTGTTTCAATTTGTATTGAAACTGATTGAAAATATCTCGTCACTCAATTCTCCTGAATATTTAGGACCTGGCAAAATCTTAAATCTTTTGAAATGTGCTAACGTTTTGTGCTGTCCATTCACGAGCATTTTTAATAAGTCTTTCTAAACGAATTTCATACTAGAAATCTGGAAAAAGATAATCCAAATATCAAACAAAGTGTTTTGTGATAAAAATGCAAAATTTGGACCCACAGAAATAAGCTAACTTTTTCTCAAAACAACAGAAAGACTATTTCTACACATATCTCAGCCTACATTAAAAGAGTAAATCAACACATAACAGTTTGCTTGCAAATACAAAAGGAGTACCATGGATGCTGCTATCGTTCTGTATCATAATACAGTGTCCAACATAGAAAAGTTAGAAGCATTTTCGATGCGCATTTCTAGACTATACGTTTACCTTTGACTCTATTCCAATACCACTACTGTTAAACAAGTTTGCCAGTGTCTTTCGACAGCTGGATAACCAACTGGTTGTATTTTTACCTCTCTGGAGGAGAACAATATACTGTGCTTGAATGAAAGTATTTTGCATACTTACTAAAAAGGTGAACCAGAAGCTGTTTGTTTTTCTGTTCTCATTTTTTTCCACGAAATTTCATGTAAAACAGTTAAGCATGCAGATAATCTTACTACAAGTCTGTTTACATCCCATTGAGATGAGTGAGTTCTTGGTGTTCAATGAACGACCACCTACCACACACAAGCTAGTCGTTTGGTAGAACGATCCTAGCGACGGTTAACAACCTCCTGATACTTTTTCACTCTTTTTACTCGGAATCATTAGTGCAATGAAAACCAAACGTTGGATCTCATGTAGCTGAGCTTCTTTACAATAACTCCGACTCGCGAGAGAACTCGTGGATCTTTCATTTTCTTCACCGAATATGGATACACTTCCCTCATGAACCGAAATATGAATGTTGTAGTCTTAGTAAAGCCTCCTCTTAACCGACCACGATGAATCTGATATAGTAAATACGTTTCTGGACAGTAAGATTCAACACGCCGACCTGTTGACGTGGCTCATTACAGATCATGTAAGGCTTTGAATCGTGGATTAAATCACAATACCACTGACAAGAATGTGATGCGAAATAACGTCAGCATTGACTGAGTGGAGGAAGCTTACTTAGAAGGGAACTTAGTAGAGATTCGCACTACATTAGACAACACCAGCAGTGCAAAAATCACAGCACAACTAACAATCAGTGACTACGAGAGGACTGCAACCGTTTGAATCAGGTGGACAAAATAGAAGTTTAGGCTGAACCGTGAAGTTTTCAAAACATCTGAAAGATTGCTGCACGGAAGACACGTAGAAGCCTCGCGTTCTCTTACGTTTATCTACCACCAAACACAACTTCATCTTGTTCCTCTAGTTTCTGCCTTAAATATTATTAATGGACGCGTGGCATTATGTTCTCTAGTTTTTAGAACATTTTCAAACATAAAGCGTAGCTCAGAAATTATGAGATATAGGTTAACTTATGTGTGCATAGCTAAAGCGTGTGGGTCGCAGACCACTAATACAAAAAACGGCCAGTTTAACCACTTTTTTATGGAAGTGAGATGACCGTAATAGCGTAGTTTTGCTTAACGTAGTTCCTCATTTGCAATTAACCTCATCTCCCAATGGCGAGACAATAATTTATGAACGAACTACTAACACTCAAGAGAGCAGGTCTTAAATTCGAGCGCGAAATTAGTTTACTCATCTAGTTAAATACCATTTTGGCATTAAAGTTCATGTCAGTTCGTGATGAAAATATTAAATCTAATTCCTAATTGTAACATCCAACTGTGAATCCTAATGCTAATTCCTCACACTAATATATAAGCTTCATTTAACCCTGGTAAGTGGGTGGGCGTTCCAAGGTCATTTAAGCGCTGCTGAAAGATGGTCTATTTATTAGTCTTACCCTGGGGACATTTGGAGAATTTCCGAAAAGTCCCATCGAACTTTTGAGGAAATGTGACAAGTGATTTTAAAGGTTTTACTGGTTTGTACCGAGAATATCTATTGGATAAGGGGAGGAGGGAACCCACAAATACAGCGAGACTATAATTTATGGCCAGACGAATCACGTATAAGATAACAGGTCTAGGATTTTGGTGTGAAAATCACTCATTCATTTGAAGAGTTTTCGCACCATAGCTAACTTCAGTTCGTGATGAAAACCCTAAACCTGATTTATAACCTTAATCATAAACTGTTAATCATAATTCTAATTTCTTACACAGGTTTGTAACCTTCATTTAGTTCTGGTCATTAGGTCGACACTTCCAAGGTTCGTCTAACGTCGCCCAAAGGTCAATAAATTGTAGCCTCTCCACAAAAACCCCACGATAACCAGGGCAATTATCCGTAAAATTTGGGTGGACTTGGTGTTCGGTCACTACCAAATGATTGTTTCGTATTAATAACATTGTGCAAAATGTCGATTAAGAATCTGTCAAATGAGAAGCCATAACTGTGATATGAAGTGCACTGTATATGAAAATCTGATATAGCACATAAAGGAGGTAGAAAATTGGTGATTCAGTGAAGTGATAGCACCCACTTACATTTAAAAGCGAAATCTGCAGACAACAACGAGACACGTGTCTTCAAATTTACGCGCGCTCCGACAAGGTCATGACAACATTTAATAGCGGGTTAAAAGAAATATGATCCATATAGATAAGCAATTTATTTATTGCTTTCTTAACATACATTACTGCTTGCTCAATCTTTGTGACGTTTTGCAGTTTAAAATTTTATTTGACTTTTGTTGAGTCCTGTTGTTTTCTCACTTTTGATTGCCTGATGGTCGGCCATCCTAATTTTCTCGATCGTTAGTTTAGTGACATATATAGGAAGGTTTGTATGTGCTGCTTCGATGCTCGGTGGATTCAGTGGAGCTGGCCTATTCAAGACTTCCTCAAAGTGTTATACCCATTTGTTTCTCTGTTCTTGAATTTCAGTAATTGACATGAATTATTTGTCGTTGACCGGCCTCTCTGGTCTACTATATTTCCCTGTCAGTTTCCCAATTGTGTTTCGTAGTTGTTTCATATCTCCTTCTCTTGCGGCTTTATTCGCTGTCGTCACTGAGTCTCCCACGTAGTTCTGTTTATCGGCTCTAGTGCTCCTGTTCACTTGCTTGTTTGCTTCTGTGTACTCAATTTGTGTTTTGACTTTCTCGGCTCGTGATCGGTTGCTGTTAATTGCTCTCTTCTTGTTCTTCCTTTCTTTAATTTTGTCCGGGGCTTCGATAGAGATCCATTCCTTATGATGATGCTTCTTTCGGTCCAGAAACTCCTGACATGTTGAAGTAAATGCGTTTTTTGAACCCTTTCGAATTTTTCTTCACAGTAGTTTCCTCTTCTTCGAGTAGATCTTGTAAGGCTTGGAACCTGTCGTTGAGAGGTTTCATGTGTCCGAACATTGATTTAGCATAGGAGATATTATTAGGTTCAAATGCTTTTGGACAGAATAGAAGAGGTGTTCGCTTGAAGGTCTTCTGTATATACTTGCAATGGGTCACCAATGCTTCAAGGCAAGAACCTAGGTATATTAACGGTAAAAGACGAAAAAAATGGCAAACAATAGTAAGATATTATCCTTAGTCCTTAAAAATAGGTCAAGTTTCTTCTTAAAGAACTCCTGAGAAGTCTCTTGAACTAACTCATCCGTCAGCGAATTCCAGCATTTGACTACTCTTAAAGAGTAGAAGTTGTGTCTACCATCCTTTCTGCTGTGTTGTATCTCTAGTTTCTGCGTGTTGTGCCTTAGTTTTTTCTTGGAACTAAACTTATGTAGATGTTTAAGGAAATGTCCAGAAGTGTTAAGGATACTGTAAGCCATCAGAAGGTCACCTCCAAAATGCCTATACTCTATTGGGTATATGTTTAGCAATTGGAGGTGCTCTTCATAAGGTTTGAATTTGAGTCCCCGAATTGATTTCGTGGCTCATCGTTTGATACGCTCAAGAGTGTCCCTATCCTGTTGGAGCGAAAGAGGAAATACCATGTTTTCGTATTCTAAATGGGGCCGAATAAAACTTTTGAAGATTATGTGTAAAGTTCTTCCGTCAAACTGACCAAAAATGCCCTTCAATGTTACCAGTGAAGAGTTTGTTTGAAAGGCATTTTTGTCACAGTTAGCGTAAGACTTCAAATCGTAGGGTACCGGGACTCCTAAATCTTTTCCGACTCGAGTTTCTTAGGTCGTAAATGTAATCTGTATTATATCTCAGATGGACTACTTTACACTTTGAAGTGTTAAAGGTAAGTCCGTTGTCGTCTGCTCAACTGTGAAGTCGAGTTATATCTTCCTGAAGTGCCAGATTATCTTCTCGGTCGCGTAATTCTCTTCAAAGTTTCATATCGCCAACAAATAATAACACTTTTGATGATGCCCATTGTGGAAGATCGTTTATATAAATCAAGAAAAGAAGAGGACTCTGTATTGAACCATGGGAGACCTCACTAAGACGTTCCTTAGCCTGAGAGAAAGTGAAGTTAAACCTGACCTTAAAATGTCGATTTTTTAGATATCCAATAAGCCAGTCAATTAGAGGTGATTTAGTACCCAATTGTTTGAGCTTGTTGACCCTATCAAAATCTTTTGAGAAGTCAAGGCAAATGACGTTAACCTTCCACTTGCCATCAAAAATGGTTGTCCATCTGTCCACTACAATCAGCAGGTTGGTTATAAAAGAGTGACACTTGCTAAAACCGTGCAGTTGGGGTGAAAGCAAGTTTAAGAATAATAAATAGTCGTGTAAACCATTGTATATCAGGGACTCTATAATTTTCGAAGATATAGAGAGAAGAGCCATTGGTCGGTAGCTTGAAGGTTCGCTGAATCGACCTCCTTTGGAAATTGGTGTGGTGTGAGCCAGCTTCAGTATGAAGACACCACGATAAGCGGTGTTGCCTGGACTGAAGCCGCTTCCCCCAGCATAGAAGAATGAATCATATCCGGACCAGAAGAAGTGTCTTTTCTTAGGTTCTGCATTTTGCGGTACACCAAGTCAACGTTCAGGTTCACTAAGGAAAGTCCTGTGCAGTTGCAGATGAAGCTTTCATCACATAGTTAATGTAGGTCGGTTGAAATATCCGAGAGTATTGTTCAGCCAAAAGCTTATTGGTCGGGTCACTAGGACCTAGAAATTGAGAAACTCAAGTTTTGACTTGTCGAAAAGAGACTGCATAAGGGAATGAGCTATTATGATTGGAGGCAAATTTATCTATAAGCTTTATCTGATACTAAAGCTTGTCTTCTCTTATTGCGTTTGTGCATATGTTTTTAGTGTTTGTATTGCTTGTATGAGCCGTTGTTACCAGTTCGTTCGTATTCCATACAGCAGTGTCTTACATGGCTTAGAAAACGACGAGTGCGGTTACTTGTAGGTCTTGGAGATCATTTTGGAAGCAGACTGCCTTGTTGCACATAAGAGTGTGTGTAGTAAGAAATCCCAATGAGCATCCACATCAAGTTGAAGGTGAACTTCCCAATCCACCTGCTGTAGATTGTCGTGTAAAGCTGATACACTCAACCTTTTGAAATTTCAGCGCCTGTTGTTGGTAGGATGTCTAAGCCCAGTTTTGCTGATAAAACTAAAAAGCCGTGATGGTGTGACCACTTTTCCCTAGGGAAACCAGGATTGATTGTTTGTCAATTAAGAATGTTTCATTTGTAAATTTACAGTCTAAGCGCCACGGCGTCTTACTGTTTCCCCAAGAAGTTACCGACTTCACATTTTCGAATAATCACTTCCCCAATGAGATTAAAGAACCGAGCCTCAGTAGGTTCTTCGCCTCCAGTATACGTTCCAATATTTTCCGCGTAAAATGACTTTAGGAAGATTGAAGTCACCTAGAATCAGGATATGAGGGAATCGGAGATGAGCAAAGTGGGATTGTCCTTCCAGCATACGATTATCGTCTCCGATGTTAGCAATGGGTTTCGTGGTGGTAGACAGTCTTACTAAGCACCATGAGGATTCATCAAAATTGATAAAGTCTTGGTTGCGCACTTCACGTACTTCCAAGCAAGATCGCAGGCTTAAAGCTGCTCCACCTCCCATTATTGGTTTTCCGTCTTCGAGAAACAAAGACATCCCGGGTGTTGTTGGCTCCTGGTCCATAAATTGAGAAGATATCAATGTTTCAGATACTCCTATCAGTTGGGGATTATTGGCATTGCTGAGTTCACGCAACTCATCCATTTTATCCAGTAAACTCGCGGCGTTAACCCATAATTAGTTTATGCTTTCAGTTTGAAACGCGTGAGTTTCTCCGTCCTGTTTATCTGTATAAGCCTTGTGTGAATGGACTAGCAACCTATCGACACAGCGTTTTCTGAGTTGATAGCCCCCTGGGTTCGGGATTATTCTGTATGCTCTCATAAAATCCTGAAACACCTCGTCCACTGTGCCCTCCCCTCGCGACTGGAGAGAACCGCCTCGAAGTCATCGATAAGACATACCACTTCTGACTGGTGTCACATAATACTAATTTCTGTCGACATAAGTGGCATGCATAACAATCGTCACTCCATCAAAACGGTCGTTCTTGCAGTTTTTCTGCTCACCGTGACGCTTCCTTTGTTGCGGTCTGTACCACGCTCCAGGTCAAAATACTTGGCTCACCCACGTGCTGACGTCTGTAGCAATGTAGACCAGCCGTGCCATCGACATACGATGTCCTACCAGCAGCCACGCGTTCCACTGCTTCTCTCCATCGACTTAAACTACTGCAGCCAACACCACCTTTCCAGAACACCATACTCGACGTTGTTCTTTTGCACCAGGCCGCCCTAACTAGTGCCTCTTCTCCTGTCCCGCAAAAACGTCCTCAAAACCACATTTCCTCCTCCTAGTTGGTTGCAATGCCTGTAGCTCTTCCAGGGTTACTGACGGTTCAAAGCCTAGGTAAAGTAGGAGGATTTGGTTGACATTAGCCATCTCATCCCATAGAAAAGCAAATTTGCTAAGAAAACGGTAAGAAAACTCTGCACTCACACTTGAAGGATCCTCTTTCAGAAAAATTATCACGTCTCATGTTGAAAGCCGAGATTGTTTGGAAGTCAGGAGGCCAGTGCATCCTCTAACATCTGGAGCATTAATTAATATAGGGTATTTCGTATAAAAATGAGAAAATTAATTGTGACGAATTAAATTAACTTGATCTAAAGTTATCGATTCCGGATGATCTTTAAAGTTCAAATGTACTTGCTTCCGATGTGAATCAAGGGAAAACGGAGGAAATGTAAACAGCCAAAAATCCTATCATTTCAAGGGCTTTTTTCGTCTAAATTGGGATGGATGTATGTCCAGAATTCCATGATGTAATTGTTTTCGAAATATCAACGAAATTATGTTGGACTGAATGTATCGATGATGACTTATGTGAGTGTAAATATCTGGTGGAATTTTTGGTTCCTGTAAAAACACTGAAGAGTATTGTTGTGCCTTATAATGTTTGACCACGTTTTCAATTCTATTTCACTTTACGTAAATGACCGAAAGCCTCTAATTCTCTAGAGTGCTTGACGATCCTCCTGGTAATTTTGATAGCATCAGGTAGAAGAATGGTGAAAATACATTATGCCTTAGATGATGCTGAAGCAATGCGATTTAATAATAATATAGACGACTTCCATAATTCAAGCCCTTTGGTGACGTCAGATCACTCTCTTGCAAAGAAATCAGAAAAATCATCTGAGGGTAGAGATGATGTTGATTTGGTAACAGAGGTGGCATGGTCTCTTGTAGTTACTTTATGTTGCTGTATGTCGTGGCTGATACACTGACAGTCAGCAGTTAGAACAATATCGAAAAACGTATACTCTAACTGCTGGTGCCAGAATGAACCAGTGCTTGTACGCAGTACAGTTTTGTTGACGACAATCACGAACCTCAATCACTTGCTGTCCTTAAGAACTCAAATTTACAGGAGGCTCTGTACATATCAACGAAGATAGTAAGTAGCATAGTTACTCTTGATTGATGTGTTCCCCACTGTCTCCTGATTTAACCGCAGCCGGTCAGCGATTACTAGTCAATGGAATGTCGATAAAAAACAGGTCCAACAGGGATCCACGTATGAGCGCTAACAGAATTTCGATCTGAATCAACCCACGTCACTCGTTTTAGCAAGTCAAAGTTGTTGACTGTGCATGGCTTTATAATGGCTTATGTATCAGCCCATGAAACTTCCTAAGTATTGTAGATTATTTTGTAGAGTGGTTAATACCTCAGCTACACTAAGTGTCAGATCTGGCGGTTAAAGCTGCTGATAGATATCGCGCTCAGAAAAGTTGTGGGAATGCTGTGTTATGATAATGGAGTACGTGGCTTTCCGGTGTAATGAGTTTACTTGAATCTCATATGGATATTTTCGGTACTGCTTTAACCAATGATTTTTGAGCTTTTTGTGAGCTACCAGCCACCCAGATGACGGTAACTACGCTTTCTGACTCAACCGAATCGACTAGGTAGCCAAGACAACAAGAGATGTGGTGCTTGTTTGTATACATTTATCTTATTATTGTTGCACTTATTTGCTTTTCTGGTTAGGTTAAGGATGTAAGATCCAAACTTAGGTTTGGACTGAAGAATAGCTGTTTAGGTGGGTTAGATACGCGCCCTTGCCCAGTTGAAACCAAAACAAAGTAAGTGGGTAAAATGACGGTTCTAAAATTCATCATAAATTTAAATGTACATTATTACCTAGACAAATATGACCACTCAGCTATCCAAACAATAATTGTTCAATTAATCAAATCTAAATTACAATAAATAAGGAAGTTGACAAAGGATGCGAGAAAATTACCAATCGCAACAAATAAATGCTGTTTTTTCCTGTCTTGATAGACCACACACAGATTCGCTCAAAAGATAATATTTGGTTGCTTTATAACACAGAATGTTTCCAATTCTGAAAGAGTGCCTCAATTCACAATCAAAAACGCACAATTTCAGTCAATACAAGCAAGACGATCAAAAGGGGAACAAACCAATATAGCTGCTGTCAAGACTAAGTATCAAGTTAAACAACATAAATGCAGTTCACGAAGAAACACAGAAACTTAGTAAAGGCGTAAGAAAATAAAAACTATAATAAAATACAAATATTACCAACTCAAATGGAATCAAGAAGACTAACAATGTACAACTAAAAGAATCAATAGGAACAAACTGCAAGTGTAAACTTGGAGGGATTTTCACACACAAAACATTCAAAATGGATCTTACAAAGGAGGCGAGGTTAAGGTGTGTGATAATTAATAATAACACAAACACTCGCATCTATGCCTCGAATCACATCATGTACAAGAAATGACCTTAAATGCACCGTTCATAAATCAACAGGATGTCCACTTATGTAGTATTAAAAGTTACCGGCCGATGCATTGCATTGCTGCAATATGTGTCATAAATGTACTTTTTCAATGGTGGTCTAGCTTCAACTGACTCATGATTTCAATCTGTGAAAATTTCTAAAAATCTCCACAAACCCCTTCTGATAATAAATGTACTACCTAAACAATTTTTGAACTAATAAAGTTAAAACCATCTTATATCATATGTTTGTTCCTTACATTTAATGTTACTATTTATATCAAACTGATCATGACTGTAAACTGGCGTGAATTCTGTAATTGTTATTTTCAGATTATATATATATATAATCCAAAGTGCTTCAGTACATTAAAAAGGTGATTTTTCAAATAGGCTTAGTGAGAAAAAGTCACCATTCATTAGGCCTTGAATTTCATGCAAACATCGTGGGGTGCTATTTCAAATCTGGTTAATTAACTAGAGTGATAGGATTATAACTAACAGTTGACCTTTGAGCGATATCAGAATAACCTTAAGGAAATTCACCAACCTACTGTGATCTATTGAGGGTTATAAATTAATAAGAAAGATAAAAATGAGGATTTAGATTTATAAGTTAGGGATAAGAATTGGAAGCATGGTTTCATTCACGAAGTGATATAAGCTATAACTCCAGAATCCTACATAGCCTTGTGGATGAATGGGTTTCGCGCTGCAATCTGAGACCCGCTTTCTTAAATTCGATTAGTTCATCAACAAATTACAGTTTAGCATTTTTCGGGGCTGATATATATGTTCCATCAAGCTTCTTGATGTTCTCCAGACTGTTTATAGAACTTCACCAACTATTTGTTTTACGACCTCTGGTTTTCATCGTGTCCAGTGATTATATAGCAATGCAAACATTTCACTAGCACATGAAAAAATTATTGACAAGTGTTTTTTATTGTAATATTCGTTGTGCGACTGAATTACAGGATGCCCAAAATTGTTTACAGTGCCCTTTTTATCTCCAAGAAAGAAAAGAATATACAACTTCGAAGTTTTCAGAATACATGAAAAACCCTTCCTGATTTAGCAGTGTCACATGCATAACCAAATCATATTGTAAAAGTTTTGGGCTTACTACACAACTGGTAATGGGTGGACTTATTTTCTGATACTTTCAACATATGGTTAAAGCTGAAGTCAAGTCAGTAGAGTAAAGGCGCTTCAATACTGTAGAATTTAAAAGATAAAACAACTGTCTGTGTGAAGACAAGCTGGAATCCTTTCGTAATTTAAGATATAACAAAAAATTAATACAGCCCTTTTATCTACAATTAATTATGTGATCCGAAATCTAAAGTCCAGTTTGAGCATGTTTTAAAAGACTCGTGTCGATTAGAGGAAGTAAAGTGTAATCGGGAAAAATTCGGAATCCATGAAATGACTGAAGTGATATCAGCTGTTCTATAATTAGACTTATCTTAATGATGAGTAATATGTGTAGTTCTAGTTGCCTCCGGGGAATATATAGGTACGTTGGATCTATTGACCATTTTTGGCATTAAAATCAAAATACGTGGGATGTCTATTTTTATGGAAGGAATAAGATATATTATCAGCCCCCCTAGGGGTTATTAATTATTGAAGTCAGAAGAATGAAACTAATACAGTGATTGGATTATACAGTATCGTTGATTTTACTAGGGTCACATCGGAACAGGTCTTCGTACTTTATATACCACGAATCGATTGTTACACTAAATATACTGTTAACTTAAAATTTAGTAGTCCAACTAATAACTGAATTTATATGTGGTACTTAAAACTTGTTGGGTGTATAAGTTTATTATTATTATTATTATTATTATTATTATTATTATTATTATTATTATTATTATTATTATTATTCACAAACAGCTGATTTCAACATAAATGTTGCGAGAAAACCGTTTCAGGTTTCCTCGTAAACGCAGTTATACACAAGTTTCAATAACGTTTACATGGCATTCATCATATTTAAGCAGGTTTTGTAATAATTAGAAGAATACTAAGTTGACTTTAAAAAATAAGAAAGGAATTAAAAATGCAACGTGTCGATAATTTAATAAGTATGTTTGTGAAAAAGAATAAGAATAAACGGTAATACATGTATTACTTAAAGGATTTCAAATAAATCATTATAGTAGTAAGATTTGATGGCAGGATAAGATATTATGCAGTGGTAGTTAAGGATTATGCAATGAAAGTCTTCATTTATATCAGATAAGGGCAATCCAATATCAGTTCGAGGGTCATAAATACGTGGTGAAGATATGGTGATTCTGAAAAGTCAATTTATTTAAGTAAGCGTAATATAAGATTTTGTGTATTTAATTAGAAACTCTAGAGGAGTAAGATTATAATTACTATAAAAGTAATAAAAGAGAATGGGAGGAAGTTTACCAATAGGAGTACGTTATGACGTAAGAACATTATTCATTCTCCATTCTATTGTAACGAAAAAACACCGAGGTGGAGGCAAAATTCTAGAACATCTTCGTAAAATATAAGAACAATACACTGACTACTACATTTGCTGATTTTCACCATTTGTCCTTCACGTTTTTGTATGATTCTTCCAGTTCACAATTCCTTTCCATTTTTCGTTCTATTCTCTTCAACTTGATCTTCTTAGCTTTCTGCTGCCAGGTTTTCTGCTTCCGATTAGTGTTGCATACTAATTATATCAACAGACATAATTAGCATACACTACACTGTTTTTTTTCTAAACAATCCGTCAATGTTTCAAGGTGTTTTGAGAAGCTAATTATTGCGTATTCTTCTAGCTAACAGTCGATATATGTGGCATTCAACGCTCCCAAGGCTGATTTTCTATTTACTTGCCAGACTTTCATTCCCTTCAGTCGACTAAGCTATCCATGTCAAATGTACAGCCGCTATGTCACAATAATTCCTGTCTTTTTCGAGTTCTAAAAAGTTGCTATTGAAGCCTTCATTTAAGCACTGAAATCACATTCGTACTTGTGATCAACCATCGATAGTCACAAGATTCATATCAACTCAGACTGTCGGTTACAATTACACATAGTGTTTCTGTTATTAATAGTGACGGAAAAAATAAGATAATAAATTATCTACAAACCGACTCATCTTGTCCAACAAAATAATACACTTATGTACCCTATATGTTAAACTAAATAAAGATGAACGCAACTCTGAGAATTTGTAAGTGATCGTAAGATTCCGATTTTGTGAGTCACTTTCTATATGAAGGTTAAGTATTCCTTCTCGAATTAACTCTTCAAAGAAATACTTGTGGATCATTTTGTAATAATATTAAAGAGTTTTTCAAAACTCATGAAGCCTTCTTTATTCAAGATCGCGATTTCACAATTAAGTGGGTAGACAGCGAACACGGCTGTATTCTGAAAATATAGATTTTTTACGAACATTGGATAGATTTCTGGTAAGAAAAATCTTCATCACTGTGTTTGCTTTCAAGTTATCAATTTTTTCCGGTAGACATTTGGTTAACTTTTGAAATTTCAACATTCTGCTGTGAACTTATGAAAGTAACTCGAAAATTTGAAGTTTTGCTTATTCAACACTGTAATTACAGGATGTAAAATTAACTTGTAAAAATATTTCGGAACATTTGTTTACTGATTATCGCATTTTTCAGTTGTGGTTTTCACCTTAGTAACCCATTTCAATCTCAAATCGCTTTAATCGGATCTAGATACACAGAAAAGAAAAGATATCCTTTCTCTTTAGTACCATTAATGATACAGTAGAATAATTACTAACGAAACTGATTACTTCTTTAATTCCACAAGCCAAATAGTCATACTTTATTCAGGCCATAAGTTGACTTGTTGTATGATATACGCTTGAACTATAGAAAAATAAGTCTTGATATTTTGATTGAAAGGTTTGGTTTTTAATAATAATTTTTACACAAATTATGATTTTAGGAAACATTAAAAGTATGTTGGAATAAATAATTTAATTATGATATATAGTACTTAATGTACAATGCATTTGATAATACGATCTGTTCTTCTTTAAATCATTTAGTTCTCTAATATGGTAGTTTAAAAAGAAATTGTTTTAATATCCATTTGCTTTTTTGTTTAATTAGTTATATTTAAAGAATCATAAACGTTTCCATATTTTCGTTTATTTTCTGAAAAGTTTGACTTGTTTAAACATACCCCAAGTAAATGTTCAACAACTGTCAACATATCGGTCTATTAGAAGACTGAAGACTGTTAGAATATCTCTCATTGAAATTCAAATCTTATCATGGAAGCAATTCCCCGGTGTACTGGGTGAACCATAACCACTTGAACGGTCATCTGATATTGTTGTGGAATCATGAAAGTTTAAATCAAATGGATTTAATAAAGAACATAATCGATTATCTGTATTCCTCATTAATTTATTGTCACAAGGACTTTGTTCAGTAGTAATGCGTGTTTTACACTTTGTAAATAGTTGAATATATGAAGCAATACATTGTGAATAGTTGAGATTCATTTGGTATTTTTGGTTATTTTCATCATCATAATCTTCATCATCTCCAACATCAGTGCAATTTTGTCTTGAAAGTATTTCATTTGAACAAAAACACGAGTTAGCAGTAGCTTTATAACAAATAATATTTCTTTTTTCTGGATGAGGTAGATCAATATCACGTGTAGAAATGTGTGGAAATAATTCCATGTAATCATGTTCACACAAAATAATGTTTTCATGTAGATAAAAACGATCTCCAATGCAGAACCTACATTTTAAAATGGAATAAAATGTTTATGAAATTTGCTTTTTTTAGCTGACCTAAATGATCCAATGGAGACAGCAGTTATATTAAAAGAGGAATAAATCTTATTTTATAGGACTATCGACAGTTGCATAGTTACTGTTTAAAAGCGTATATTTTGTATATAAAGGGATCTTAGTTTATCCAATTTAACATATTCAAATACAAAAATGAATTACGAGATATTTAAGGAAGTTAGAAAAGCAGAACAGTATCTTACGAACTAGGATAGTTAATACACCTTAAGTGTAGGGAGTTGTATTGAACAAATTAAGTCCAGCTTTTATTTAAAAGAATTTGATTATCCATTTCACACTTTCTCTGTAATTAGTGACATTTTTAGGGAAAAAATTTAATCGTTTCTTTTTAAAAATGCAATTTTCAATTTTTTCTTAGAGATTATATGAACTGTTACCAGCATTAATACTGTATTACCTGATTAATTATTGTCGTTAATTAATCTTCTAAAGTTAGAGTTGTTTTCTATTTGCTAGTTAGAGGTTAATAAACATGGTTGCGCAATCTTGTCACATGTAACATATTTCTGAATGTGATCTAAAATATCTGCTGTCATTTATAGTTAATAACACTATATTCTGTAGGAGGTCGTCTGCATAGAATTATCCGATTTGAGGACTGTTGAAAGCCGGAGAAGACAGAATAGCTGTTCTGTCCTAGCACAAGGATCCCTAGCGGTGCTCACTCTCAATCCAGTCAGGGGTTGAATTCAGGATCGTCCGGCCCAATGATCAACTCTTAAATATTAGATCCGTTTAGGTAGGGTCACGTGATATACAACCAACTTATTATTGCTTACTTACTTACGCCTGTCACCCCTCGTGAAGGAGCATAGGCCGCCCACCAGCACTCTCCATCCAACCCCATCCTGGGCAATCCTTTCGAGTTTTTTCCGGTTGCTGTTCTTCCAATTCCCAAAGTAGTGTGTTCCTTGGCCTTCCACTTTTCCGTTTCCCTTCAGGATCCCAATTAAAATGCAGTATGGTGATCACCCTAATGTATGTCCTATTCACTTCCAACATCTTCGCCAAATTTCTTTCCCCATTTGGAAGCTGGTTTGTCCTCTCTACAGTAATCTGTTAATGGTGGCGTCATTCAAGATCTATAACCATCGGTTGCTATAATCTCGCGGTCCCCAACCAGGCAGTCTACACCTACCAGCATGGCTCAGTCCACTTGTCAGTAACTTCATGGATTTGTGCAACGTTTTGGTCTGGCAGCTTTCTTCCATCCTACTCCTACGCCATGAAACATCGCGGTCGGTGGTTGGGCATACGTAACACGTGTCCCAGCAATCTCAACTGATGAAGTTTCACTACTTCATCGATTGCCATCCTTACCTAGTACCTGGTTCCTAACAATGGCGTCACTTACTGGATGGTCACAGGATATACGAAAAATGCTTCGAAGACACCTATGATCGAATAATAGGACAGAATGAACTGCTGCACAGTAAACACGTCCTTTGGTCGATAGACGGATATCTCGCGTCCGTCATAAATGACGCAAGTTGACAGAAGCTGGTCGAGCATTCTGTAGTCGTGCTGAAATTTCGTCACACACCAGACCACAACTATTGATGAAACTCCCAAGATAAGTGAAGCAATCGACAAGCTTAACTACTTCACTCCCTATCATCAGTTCAGGTGTCGATGCAAACTAATCCTGAAGCAACATTTTGCATTTCCAGGAGGAGAATCGCATCCCGAACATGCTTGCATTGTTGTTATCAGTGAGTATATATAAAATGAAGTTTATTCACAGAAATAATTGTCTGAAAAAAAACAAACATTTTTACCCCGTTTAAGAGATTTATATTAAATTAATTAGAATAGTTTAATCAACTAACTAAACTTTACATGTTCACTGATAAATATCACTGAAATTTATGATTGTATGTATATGAAAGAATTTTCTTCTTAATGTTTTATTACTTTAAAATGTCTTTTGACTTCCTTTCATAAAGTAAATATTATTTCTATTATTATTAATAAAAATAAATAAATAATTAATTGATTAGTTACCTCATTTGACAATATTGACAACAAAAACAAGATAAATGATAAACACTATTTTTTATCTTCATAACAAATTCATATGATTGTACTTGTTTCTGACAGATAGAACATTCACCTGTTTTACCATACAATCTAAAATGTAATTTTGAGAAGAAAAAAAATAATAAGAAGATTGTTCTTATATTGACATGATCAACAAAATTGTGTGAATTTGAAGATAGACTTTTGGATCTAGAACTAGAATAACTGAAAAGCTGTTAATAATCAAGATATAATGGCTAGATATTTAGGTTTAGTGAAATGTTGTAATACAGGGACTTGGTTACGTTAAAATTGTGGTATTAACTCATCAATAACATCGATCACGAGCCATATTATATACCACAAAATAGTTTAAGCTTAACGTATATACCACTTAATTTAAAGTTGATGGAAACTTAATTTATGCACGAAACAATCTTTAAGACAATGAAAATGTTACACAAAAGTTTCATCCGTTTGCAGATTTAAAGTAAAACCAGATTGATAATATGGCTTATTGGAATGGCGTTGAGAGGCTTCAAGCTGTCAAACAAATGATATTACATGAAAATAACAATTTGCAAAACATTTTGTAGTTTTGGTGTTTGAGCTATTTTCTGTCTTGGTGGTCTTCAAGTAAAATACGTAAAGTGGTATACGTAAATTTAACGGTTTACTACAATCAGTATTATTCTGACCTATTGATGTTGGTACAACAACAATTATTTCTGTAAATTTTCACTTCTTGATTTATAATGATCATGTTATGATGTGGTAACTGCACATAGTGAATATTCGCTTTTATTTGTGATTTCATCTTGTATAATATTATATGTACCGTGATATTTGTTCATGTAATTCAATTTTTTCAAAAGTTGTCTAGAAAGTCTCGTGTACTCTTTCTCATCAGAGATTACCAGTGTCAAAGTAATATCACATATCATGTAATCGATTTTTCGGGGAGAGTTTAATTCAAGGACGAATCAACGAAATTAAGGACTACAAGTTTTTGATCTTAGCGCCAAATCTATTCATTCATATCGTTAAACAATATCTTAGGAGTATAGCTTATGTCGGTTAGTGATAAAAAGCCTTACTTTAATTCCTAACATTAAAGTCTAAATCTAAATCCGAATCCTAATTACTCATACTAATTTACAACCCTCTTTTGACCTTAGTAAGCAGGTGTGTCGTCCCAAGGTCACTTTAGAGTCATCCAAAGGCTGTCCATAAATTATAGTCTTAGCAATTTGTCTAGTTATATGTAGATACTAATTATTATTTACGAGATCCTCAGTCGACCTTACTTCGAATCTTAACACTAGGAATACTGTAACAATAGTCAAAAGTAAAATGCCTCCCTACTTGTGCTGTCTATTAACAGAAGCTATTTTAATAGCTCATGAAAGTAGACATTTATTCGCATAAAATCTAGTTTCAATAAGACTGAGGTGAATGAAATAAAGCAACTTGGAGTGTCTAGGAAATTTGATGTATTGACTGCCTTCTTACTTTTGATGACCACTAAAATTCCGGATGGAATTCAGTTTTATAAGAACTCTGGTTAGCGTTTTTTTAGCAAGATTGTTTTCTACGGGATGGAATCGCCGACTCTACACTCAAACTTCCTCCTTTACCCGGGCTTGGGACCGATAGTTTTACGAAAATAAATAAATTTACTGATTCGGTGATCGATTTTTGGAAATAAAACTTACATTATAATTGACGCAAAATTTCTGAGAAGTAAAATGGTAATATGATAGACTTACTTTTTTGGAGATTGGGAAACAAGTCTATCGGTTAATGGAAGTTTATCAAATATTCGTATGATCATTTGTAGTCTTTCGTTTAAAAATAGAAACTAATATAATTTATACATGAGTTTCTACCTTAAGTGAGAAATCAGTTTTGGTAAATTATGTCTATTTATATGGTTATTTTAACAAATGAGATATCTTGTCTTGTACAATCGATTTGTACTGTTATGATTCGAAAAATACTCTCTATCATAATTTCCATTTAAGATTTATGCTTTTCGTTGTTTTTCAATATCTGGAACGTAGAAAAGTAATATGCTTCCTGACTAACTTAATCTCTATTGTTGAGTGATTCGAAGTGGTCACTGTCATTTTTAAAATCCTGATAAATTCATAGCACAATTTAAACATACATTATTGCGCAAAGTATATTGTATTTTAACCTAATGAACTAGTTATAAATAAATGAGTAGAAAAATGAGATTTTCTGACGTTTCGTGATTAATTGTAAGCCACTTCTTCGGAGAATAAATAAATAAACAAATCAAGATTAATCCAAGTTTAAATAGTACAACGGAACAACACAAGAATATTTATGTGATCAATCAAAAACAGGTGTCATTACCAAGGTTTGATTTGATAATTTCGAATAAATTGAGCATTGGGTTGATTGTTATAAATAAAAATAATATATTTGTAATATCCCAATGAGTAGAAAATTGGATTTTCTGACGTTTCGTGACTTAGTGTAAGTCACTTCTTCAGAGAATAAATAACCAAATTAAAATTAATCCAAGTTTAAATAGTACAACGGAACAATGCAAGAAAAATATTTGATCAATCAAAAAACAGGTCTGAACAAGTTGATGTCATGTCATTTCTGTCAAGGTGATTCATAAGTGATATGTATGTAAATTTGTGTGTATGTATATGTGCATTGTTTAAGCATGAAAACTTGTGTGACCTTTATGGTAAGAAAGGATAGAGTTTAAATTTGTAATATGATAGTGTGAAATTGTAAATACGATCAGACTGAGTGGCTAGGATAGATGGTCCAAGTAGGATGTATAGTAAGACCTTCCTTTCTATTGAGAGAAGTAGGATTAAGTATTATATGGAACGCCTCAGCTACCCTCCTTTCTTTGTAGTTGGAAAAGCCTTTTTGCAATATTTTGATATTTTTAAAATCGATTTGGTAGTTGTTGAAAATGTCATGAACTGCTATTGCCGATTTAATTTGAAGTTGGTTCAATTCTACAGGATTGTTAGGAGGTTTCTTTGTGTACCTAATATGTTCTTTGGCTCTAGTCACGATTTCGCGGGATGACTCTCCAATATAATCAATACAATCAATACAACCTAATTTGTAGACGCAGTTCTGTGTGGACATGAAAGGGATTTTGTCTTTCAAGCGAACTAAAGTATTACGTAGTGTGTCCGTTGTTTTGTAACACACTTTGATTTTGTGATGTTTTAAGATTCTTTGGATTTCTTCTGTTGTGCCATGACGGTATCGTAGAACTACAGTACCAATCCATGGCATTTCATTCGAATCATTATTAGAATGTAATAAACTGTTTTGCTTTAATATGCTTCTAATAATCTTCATAGGAAAATTATTAAATTTTAAGATGCTAACTATATTCATTTGTTCTTTTTGTTTGTCTTCCTCTGATGTGATGATCTTGTTAGCTCTTCTAAAAAGATTTAAGGTTAGCGAGATCTTTGCGCTGAAAGGATGTGCTGAATGGAAGTCAATATAACGATTTGAATGTGTCGGTTTTCAGTAAATGGAAAGGTTTAGACTTCCATTTGGATTTCTTTTCACTAAGCGATCCAAGAATGGTAGCTCACCATGTACATTTTCATTTTCATTCGTGAATTTGATGTGCGATGAAAGTGTATTTATTTGTTTTGAAAAAGATCTTAGATGAGTCTTTTTTATAATAACAAATGTATCATCTACATATCTAAGCCAAATTCGTGGTATAATGTTGTGGGCGAAGATATTTGATTCTATGTATGCCATAAAAAGGTTGGCTACAATCGGGGACACGGGGGATCCCATCGCTACACCGTTAGTTTGTTTGAATAACATACCGTTAAAAGTAAATAGCTTTGAATTTAAGCACAGTTTTAAGGATTTCATGATTAGACTGATGCTCAGCGGACATCTGTCAGGAAGAGTATTGTCGTTCTCAAGTAAACCACTAATGAATTCTAAGCATGTATCAATGGGAACACTTGTGTATAAAGAAACGACATCAAATCTTACCATGATTTCATTCTTCTCGATGATTAATCCGGATAATTTTGATTTAAAGTCATATGTGTCTTTAATTATATTATGTAAGTTGAGTTGTAGTAGTTTTAATATGTTGCTAAAATATTTTGATAATGCATATGTTGAGGTGTTTGTGAAGTCTACTATCGGTCTTAGAGGAATATCTGGTTTATGAATTTTTGGTAAGCCATAAAACCGTGAGACATTACATGATTTGGGATGAAACGCAAACCAAAGCGAGACCCCAATGAATGGTTTTAGCTCGTTCAGAAGTTGATTTGTTTCTAGTTTGACTTTGTTCTTAATCGTTAGAGAAGTTTTTGGATTGATCTTTACATAAGGTCATGTTGAGAGATGTTCAAAAGCTTTATTAATATAATCTGTTTTATTCATGATTACTGCTGTGTTGCCTTTATCGGCTTTTGTGATGATAATCGTTTTGTCTTTTTTAAGTGAATGCAGAGCCTTCAATTCTTCTTTTGAAATGCTTGGTGTAATGTGTTTTTGTTTAGTCAGAATATGGGATGTCTTTTGACGTAGTAAATCAAAAACAGGTCTGAATAAATCCATGTCACGTCATTTCGGTCATAGTGATTCATAAACGACATGTGTGTAAATTTGTATATATGTGAGTGTGCAATGTTAAGGATGAAAAATGTATGACATTTATAGTGAGAAAGGACAGAGTTTAATTTGTAAGATGAAAGTGTGAATCGTGAATAATATCAGACTAGTAGCGATAGCAGTTCATGCCATTTTCAACAACTACCAAATCGACGTTAAAAATATCAAAATATTACAAAAAGGCTTATATAATTACAAAGAAAGGAGAGTAGCTGAAGCGTTCCATATAATGCATAATCCTACTGCTCTCAATAGAAAGGAAGGCCTTACCATACATCTTACTTGTACTATCTATCCTAGCCACCTAGTCTGATATTATTCACAATTCACATTCTTATCTTACAAATTAAACTCTGTCCTTTCTCACTATAAATGTCATACATTTTTCATCCTTAACATTGCACACTCACATATATACAAATTTACATACATGTCGTTTATGAATCACTTTGACCGAAATGATGTGACATGGATTTATTCAGACCTGTTTTTGACTGATCACATAAATATTCATTTGTTCCGTTGTCTTATTTAAACTTGGATTAATCTTGATTTCAATAGTTGAGGTCATGAGTCAATTGAAGCTAGACCACCATGGAAAACCTGGAAGCGCTCGGGAGCGAGACTGATGGGTCCTGGGTTCGAATCTCGCGGAGGCGGGATCGCGAATGAGCACTGCTGAGGAGTCTCATACTAGGACGAAACGCCCTCCTGTGCTTCCAGGTTTTCCGTGGTGGTCTAGCTTCAAATGACTCATGATTTCAATTTTTGAAATTACTAAAATCACAAAAAACCTCTTCTAATAATAATCTTGATTTGGTTATTTATTTATTCTCTGAATAAGTGGCATACACTAAGTCACGGAACGTCAGAAAATCTAATTTTTCTATTCACTGTGATATTACAAATATATTATTTATTTATAACGATCTGCCCAATGCTCAATTTATTAGAAATTATCAAGTCAAACTTGGTAATGATACTTGCTTAATGAACTAATGTCATTTTACTTTATCAAAATACTTAAAAATATACATTGACTACTTACTTACCTTAGATAATCTCTTCGACATAATGACATCTTAGCTTTAATGTAGAAAATTTTATCTAATTCAGCTAATCTAGCATCACAGCATACACAACGTAGACAATCTTCATGCCAGTATTGACAATCAGCTAATAAGTAATGACTTTCTTTGATGCACTGTTTACACTTTGAGCAAAATTTCAACTCTGACATTATAAAGTTACTTTTAATAATAATAGAATTTGACTTGTTCAAGTTTTCAACGATTTTGTTTCTAGTTATGCTTAACATTAAACCATATGAATGTTGTAATCTAAATTTAATGAACTGTTGAGAAGGAAAAGGAGAAAAGCTTAAGGAAAAATATGTGAAAAAGCTTTTAAAAAAGAGTGGTTATTTGATACAAGCTATTTAAGTTACTGAAAATTATACAATCAGATCAACTTTATGGAACGTATTATTCAATGAGTTTATATTTCATTAAGTGTATAGATGAAAGTTGGAATTTTAAGAAAAATGTGTCCAGGATTCTTCAACGTTGTTACATGGTACACTACACACTTAAGGTATTAACTAAAAGCGAAATCACATTTCAGTTTTGTTCTCTGATATTAAGTCTTAATCACTTAGTTTCATATATAAAAAAATGCCTTGCAGTTACTCTGAACAAAGAATTAACATTATAATCAGAAATGATAGTGTCTAGCAGTGGAATCCAGGACGAGGGTACTTGGTCTCAGTCCGGGAGTGACAATTAATTCCGGGATACTGATACATCCAGCTAACTAGTACAAAAACGTTTAGGATTATTTTCACTAGAACTATTTAACTTTTGTCTAGTTCGAAATTGCCAGACATTATAGTGATATATATAACAATTATACTTAACATCTATCACACATAATAACGAATGTGTACATTGATATTAGAAATACCGTAAATTGCCTACACTTAAAAAGTAGGTTCATCTCTGTTTAAGTTATTTATCACATTTTTTTTGAGAATCTGTTATAGACAGTCACGTTTATAAAATTATCATTACTTATATTAAAGTAGCTTAATTTTTACTATTTTTTCTGCACCTTAAAATACTTGAAATTGTTTATCAAGAAATGACCATGCTTTTAAGGGTAATGTTTCATTGATGATATTAAGTTTCGTCATTTGTAATATGATAAAACTACTTTAGAATTAGTTTTTCGAAAAGTTAAGTATTTACTAATATAGGTATTGTTTGAACCACTGGAACAGCAGCATTCAATTACTTACCATTTTCTAGTTCTCACTCGAACATTAAAAGTATTATTCAGCGCTAATTTAACTAGAAAATCCGTGACAAGTAGCGTTATATTACATCAACTATGTGGAGGCCTGTTTCCATCCCAGTGTGATCGACATGTTTTATGTAGATAACTACTGATTTCATCACTCAGTGCCATAATTGATTAAAGAACTAGAGGAACTTTGGGTTTCATGTCTGCGTTAAGCTAATAATCGGTACTCTAAAGTTTCTTGGTTCAATATGAAGTTAAAAACATATTTACTCTGCAAAGCAATGTTGGATATGCACTTTTTGGTCAATTAAGTTTCAAAAAGTTTTAATTCAGTTAGTTTAAATACTTTAATGTGAAAGGTAACGAATTTATAATAAATCTTTAACCCATGATGCATATTTACCTCAAATTCTTCAACGTATATAATGTTTCTAAGTCCCATTCATAGTAACAGTTCCTTTAGAGATTAATTTTGTTTATTATTCAACATATGTACTTGTTTATTATTGTTCAATCGATAATTATGCATAAAAACATGTTTTGATATTACAAATGATAATCTTTTTTATATATTTAAAGAGAAGAAATTAATCGTTTTATCAAAATGAAAACTTTAAGTAATAAATTATAAAATAAAATTTCATTTCGAATGTAATTTCGTTTTACCTTCTTTTTAAAATGAGAATATTTGTAATTAAAAAAAATCATTGAACAATTAAATGATCTAATTTGAAGGGTAAAATTAATCTTAAAGAACAAAAATCTAATACATAATTAATTAATTAATCAATCATTTCAGTGGTTCAGTTTATTATAATGTAAAGTTTCAACTCCGCCTGGAGCCTCCTTGGGGCTACTTCCGGTCTCAAGCCCGGATAAAGGAGGAGGATTGAGCATTGGGTTAGCGATATTCTACTTAGCTCATGGATGTTTATTTTCTATGTCACAGTATGTCTCATAGTTCAGATAAAATCAAGTTTATCTAATGTAATCAGAGTTCTATTGTACTCTAATTTAAAACATTTAAAGCACGATTAATTTAGATGTTTACAAGATAATGTAATTGATAGATCTTCTTGGAATGTAGGATAACATTAGAATTGGGTAATCATGAGAATATACAAAATAAAATGATAAGATTGGTTCATAAGTTAATTAAAATTTAGACAAAGGATACAAATATCCTTCAACTATGCAGATTAAAAATAACATATATACTACATAAATTTAAAATGTTTTACCATAGTTTTCTTTTGTACTTCAGATGTATTAAATTAATAACAAAAACACTTGTTAACTTTTTATCTCGCTAAAATGAACAATTGATCATTCAATCTATTGAAACTTTCAGTGCAATATTCAATACTAATTATTTAAATAACAATATTTAGTCACATTATCATTAAGGAAAAAATTAACTTTCGATAATGATATTAGAAGACGAAGATTATCAGAACTATGTGATATATTAGCGCAATACATTTCGAACAATCTGGTCACACATGTACCAAAATGGATTCAAAAACAAATACAATCAAATGACCCAATAAGAGCAGAGGATAAACATCCATCATCCTCTATTGCTAAACATATAATTGAAACAGGTCACAAGATTGATCTAAATTCAGCTTTTGTAGTGCTGTATAAAAGTGTAAAAGGGCGTATACTAAGGTTCATTGAAGCCTTAGCCATACGAAAATTCAAACCCCCTTTATGTGTTCAAAAACAGTTTGTTCTTACCTTAAACCTACCCTGGTAATATTGACTTATTATCCAGAGTGATTAGGTTTCGCTTTGTGTTCACATTATTATTATTATTACTCTTATCATTATCCTTATCTCCTCTTACCCCGTTTCCTGTCTAGTTGACCTTTTATTTTTATATATAAATGCTCTTAACAAGTATATGTGTGACCAGATTGTTCGAAATGTATTGCGCTAATATATCACATAGTTCTGATAATCTTCGTCTTCTAATATCATTATGGAAATTAATCAAAGGGACTAATTGTTTTTAAAAATTAACTACCCTTGTCCAGAGAACAAGATTGTTTTAACAAAGGAAATTAACTGGAAATGGTCAGTTAGTTGAAGCAATATTTGTATTTTATGAGTGAAATATTCACACAAGTGGTTTATAGTATTCAGCTTATCTTGATGTGATATAAATATGTAAGTATTGTATTTACTGAAGCAAAATCATCATAAAAGGCGTCTTAGAATTTTTTTCATAGTGGAATTAAATAATGATCATTAATGATAAATAATAAATGGTAGCACTCCGTGCTGGCATATCAAGGTATTAGACGATTATAAATGTTTGCTAATAAATGATTTCTTTGTGAACACTTATTGATGATAAAGAATTCCTGATTGATTGTCATCTAGTTTAGAAAATATGAAACCAACAGAATAATGAATGTATGTTGACTACCTCCAACCACCATCTAAATCTCAATACATAGTGCCCGCAGTGTCGAGTCACCTAGACTGGTGGCCACATTGCAACATGATCGATAGCATTCGATCTGTACTAATAATAACAAGACAAGCATGACATTGATCACCACCCAGTGATCAATCAATTGTGAATGAATGTATGTTACTAAAATTGGTGTTTTAAACGTACCCTTAATACTACTCTCTTTAACTTATATAGTTAAAGTCTAACTTTATAACAAAACATTTTTAATATAATTCATATTTTTACAATTAAGTATTGTTTAATAAATGATAATTCTTGGCTTAACAATTCTAATGGTTGAACTATAATATTCGGTAAATGAAGAGTAAATTTTATTGAAAAAAAAACGAGTACAAAATTAGTTAAACTTACAAATTATTCAATGAAATATCTTGATATTCACACAAACATTATTTGAATGATTAAAATTTTTGAATAATGAATAACAATCCAAATTTAGGTAGGAGATATTGAAATGATTAACATCATAATATAACTGTTAATTCAAAGCAATGATTATTATTCTTCTATTTACGAATGAAATTTTTCAATTTTAGTAAATAACAACAAGGTGAATGATTTTGATGGATAGAGAACAAAAACAAAATAAAACAAAATGAATATAAATGCTTAATATTGATAGTTGATTGGTTAATTTCAACATAATTCTCATCAATTATATTCTCAAAATGTGAATAGTATTTAGTCTGTTTATAAATATACATGAACATTTAGTTGTTATGTGTGTATACATACATCTTATTTGTTTAATATATAATACATATTTTTCTTTACGGCTATTTACACATTAAATATATAAAGATACATACAAAATTTAATATTGAAATGTATGTATAGATTTGATAGTTAAATTTTTAATGATTGAATGAATGTTAAATGGTAAAAGAAAGATAACAAAGAAATGTAATTAATTTTTTTCTCTGCAATTTTTCTCTTTTTTATTTTTTCTCTCTTTTATTTTTTTCTTTCTTCTTCATCTTCTTATCTCACTATAATCGTTTATTTTAAATAATTTTTTTTCTTTTCATTTAATTGTAAAAAAAAATTTATTAGATAAATCGATGGATGGTTTATTATTTTTAAATTTTATGATTATAAATAAAAAAAAGAATTTTATTTTGTTGCAACTCAACAAAATAAAAAAAATAAAATAATAAAAAAAATAAACAAAATAAAAATAGACGAAAACAAAAATGAATTAGAGAGAAATAATATTTAAGAAAATTACCAATACAACTAAACATTGTAATTTTTTAATTATTTATTCAATGATATAACGAAAAGAATTTATTGGTTCGAATTATACTCTTGTCTTAGTTGGATACGTTTATGTATATAATTAATAGTTTTAATGAATGATAAATCAAATGACAGAACAGTATCTCTCTCAACTCTCAACTGTTTCTTAAATTTATTAAAGATAAACACTTTAGTCTGTCTGTATGTGAATTATATGTACAATAGTTAAAAAGATTTTTTCTTTCTTTATAGATTTAAGTCAGCTAGAGAATAGTTGAAAATCATGAAATAGC